GGGAAAAATTCACGATTACCTCTCTTTTAAAAGAAGGATATCTCCCAAGACTCGGTGAACCTAATCAAAAGTTTTAACCACATCAATTCAGCAACCAAAGAGACGGTAAGGTAACCATGTATGTAAATCTTCATAATAAAAATGAAACGTGACAGTATATACAGTATATAGGAATCTTCTTGGATTTTTTTTTAATCCTCTACATTAAAACAACAACATGCTTTTCCATTATAATTAGAAAAATAAAAAGGCTGACCAGTGATATTTTTACTTGGCAACGGGTGTGGTTTGCTCTTATTCAAAAATTCCACTAAAGTATTTTATGTATGAAAATACTCACTTCACCACCAGCCTAGTGCAGAAGAAATTTCTCCTCAAACTCACGATTCACAGCATTGCTCCAAAGCTATAAGCCTTGGACCTTCAGCAGTTGTTCACCAAGCCTTACTAATTCGTCTTGCACTATTTGAGAGTTACCCTGGAGTCTGTGCATGTAAGAAAGGAGTTTCCAAGGTAAGAGTTTTCATAAGCAAAATCATGTTCCCGAATAATCATCCAGAAAACTAAAACAAAAGGCAGTCATCACATACTGGGAGACGACGGAAGCAAATCAACGTAACAAAGAATGAACATCAGCCAGTGAAATATATCCAGAACTCGGTAATGGTGGTGGACAAAACTGGAATAAATTACCATAAATGATCATCAAATTCAGATAATTTCCTTCAAGGATCTACGTTTTTTGGCATTCTCTTCCTTCTGAAGATTATGCCTTTAGGTTTATTCAAACTGAATGGCAGAAGATCGTGCGAGGAACCGCACTTGGGGAAAAAATTAAAGCAAAAACATTAGCAAGCATTCTTAAGGTATATTATTGGGAATTTGGCAACGGACACTGAAATGCATATATTGGTATTTTCGAGAAAGAAAAGTTATGCTTGAAAATCCCTCTTCAGGTTTTATTTCTTGAAACTTATAACCAAGAACCAACATAAAATTGCTAAAGAGATCAACGCAAAAGTTCTCTAAAAACTTTCCTGTGACAAAGTCTTCTCCAGCAGCTTGCCACTAACTCTTTTGAGCAACCGTTTGAATTAACCTCGTAAAGAATCAAAATCCCTAACAGTGTATATACTCATACAATAGTAAACAACCAGTAGCTTAGCATGTACATAGTTACAGAAACCTGAGTTTTCAGTTCAAGACTCGAGATTTAGAAAAAAAACATACTTTGATGGGCTCTCACATAAATTTGTGTTTCTTCCACTGCACATACTTTAGTGAACGATTCTCCATGTAGAGAATCCAGAAGCGTGTTATAATTCAACAATCCAATAAACTTTCCCTGCACTATGGATAAGAAGGAAAGTAGAGTTTAGAGATTCAGAACAGTACTTTAAAGCAAGAAGCTTAAAATTGCCTTGTAAACTCTTAGGTCCATATATTGAACTAAAAAAATATGACCACAACAAGTGTATCAATGATAACCAGCAAGTGGATCACAATAAAGTATAATGGTTTAAGAATGGAGTATCTCCTTCTCTAGCCCCAACCAAATCCAAATAAGAAGAAGAAGAAACCCAAATGCAAGGCAAAAAAGTCGACTTATTCACTGATCCCAATTACTCTCTCCCACTATAGTGAAAATCGACTTATCCAACAGAACGTCGCATCTTCTTGATAACGTATTCAAAGTTAATGTTGTCAATGGATGGATAATGTCAAACCGAATTCAAAGCTCTGAGCATAATCGTATTTATCTCATGAAAATTCAACGTAATGCTACACTTTCAGAAATATACCTATCATGTACAACTTAAGCTAGGACAATGTCACACAATCAAATCAGATGCTGAATTGGATTAAGATTTTGATAGCCATAGAAAGCCGAAATTTTACCATGCGAAGCTGATATGAACACTAAAGTTTCGATGGGCATATGAACAATCAACGCAGAGTATGTAATCGATGCCCATGTCAGATTCTTCCCACTAAAATCAATATCTTCTCAAACAAAAAATCAGCATACACGAACGTAATCCCGATAGAATATCTTCTCAGCCAACTCAAAGATCTAGAGAGTGCACACAACCAAATAGACGAATCTCAAATAAGAGAAACAAATATGAAAAAGGGAAGAATTCAGCATATAGATAGAGAAATCGAACCTTGTTTTCATATATTACTTTGAGACTTCTGAAAATTGAACCTTCACAGGTCAGATTCACGAAATTGTAGTCTTGTGGAGATGAAACGAATGAAATTTTTTAATAGTTAAATATTTTTTAGAAATTAAATAGATTAAAAAATATTAATTAGTTAAAAATTATTAATGATGTTTAATTTGAGTTTAAGTTTAATTTTCTTTATATGAAATAATATCTTTTATTTTTTTTTTTCGTTTGTTGACACTAATTTTATTTTCATTAATAACACTGACAATAACTTCATTTACAATTTGATTAAGAAAAAACAATTGAATTGGTCATTGAATCTAATTTTATATCGTAATAACCAAGTAAGATTTTATCGTTTTTAAAAGTTTCTCCATTTCTATTGATGTTGAAGTGTCGACTTTTTCGTTAACACATTACACCAAAATACTACTACTGTGTGTAAATTCCTTTTAAGCTTGAAAAATTGACAAAACAAAACATGACATATTGTGATCAATTATGTTCAATATCCATTTGGTTAAACCCGTGTGAATTATTTATTTTTGAATAACAATATCTAAAACGAAAATATTTACTACGGATATTATTGTTTTTTGTTAGATTCAATTGCGAATTTGGACACTTAAATTTGATGTTTTTTAAATTTACTTAAATTGTAAAGATATTGATATTTTGTTATTTTCTTATAACTTTATATATAAAATATGAAATTTACTATAGAAATAAAAATGATCTAGACCAATAGCTTAAAGAGTACTTATTTATTAAATAAATATATACAACTCATATTTATTTGAATTGTATCATAAGTATAAATTATGTTAAATTTGGCTTGTCCGAATATCTTAAATAGAATTTATAATACAAATAAATTATTTAATATTTTAAAACATTAAAATATATAAACATAAATTTTATATATGAAACACGAATTAAAAATGTTTTTTGTTACTTTCATATTAAAAAAAATATTTTTTTTACTTTCAATTTGTCTTGTGTGAAAAAAAAATTTAAAGAATAATTATATTTGTTGTTATAATTTTGGGAAGTTTTTTTTCATAAAACATATCAAAATTTTTTAAGAAATTTAAAAAAATACCACTTTTCAAAAATGCCACTTTTTCAAAATCTTTGCAAAAATACCACTGTTTCAAGTTTTTTTTTTTTATTATATCATTTATGTTTGGGTTCTAAGTTGTATTAGAGTTTAGTTTTGAGGATTTTATAGGCTTTAGGGTCAAAACATTT